GGTGTTTGGGCGAGAGCCACATTTAAAAACCAGGCGCCCAGGATCCAGGTATCTGCCAGAACTGTTCAGGACAAAAGTGCATGGTGCTTGGGCGAGAACCACATCTTGCACACGACCCGCCTCCATCCGTGCTGCTGCTGGAAGCCGCAAACTCCAGGATCATGAGCGGCGAAGAGGTGTCAGGCGGAATGCCTGGCTCGCCCTACCGACACCCCTGTTGGTGCGCCAGAGGGGATCTGCTCATTGGGAAGAGGGATGGACCAAGAAGGGGGAGTTCAGTAGGCATTCATGGAGGCCTTTTATGTCAGCCCGGTGGGGAAGTGAGAGGGGTCGGGGCTTCTCAGAAGGCTCGGGAGTCCCCTGGCCTCCCGAGAAGTCTTCTGAACCTGCCCCGAAGACGCAGGAAACCCCTCCGAAGGCCAGCGGGCTTCCAAGAAGACTCGCCGAATCCTCAGAATGCCTTTTCCTTCCAACCTGGGGAATACAAAGATACCGATACCGCTACTCCCCGGACCCTTGCCGCGGCGCCTCCTGACCAGAACTTCGAGGCGAATCTAGCGGTGGCGACGAGGGCCTCACAGGAGGCGAGAACGAGGCAAGGGTAGCAGCATGGGTGCCTCTTCCTCCTCTGAGGGGCAGCGGTATCGGTGCCCGTTCCTCCTCCCATCGCTCGCCGCCGAGCAGCAGTGGGGGGAGGAGGAGGAGGAGGAGGAGGAGGAGGAGGAGGAGGAGGAGGAGGAGGAGGAGGAGGAGGAGGAGGAGGAGGAGGAGAGGAGGAGGAGGAGGAGGAGGAGGAGGAGTCGAGAGAGGGAGGCCAGGCCAGCGGCCATCTCGGCCGGGCCCCGCGGCGCGCCACACCCCCGCGCCTCCCTGGAGGGCCCGCCCTGCGGGAGGTCCTCGCCCCGGGCTCTCCGCCGCGGCGGGCCGATGGGCCGCGCGTCCTTGCCCCTGCTGCTCGGCGGTCAGGACTCTGCCCGCCCGTTCGCGGCAGAGGATCTCGTGTGTCTGTGTGTGTGTGTGTGTGTGTGTCCTCCCCCGCTCGTCACAAGCAATGCCCCCGCTCATCCTCGCCCTCTTGCCTCCGCGCTGCTCCTCCGCGGTTCCTCCCCCAGCCTTATCCTCCTCTTCCTCCTCCTCCTCGGCCTCATGTCTGCGGTGCCTCCTGATGCTCCTCCTCCTCTGTCTCACCAAGCCTCTCCCTCCTCCTTCTATTATTGATCCTCCTCTCACTCTCTCTCTCTCTCTCTCTTTCTCTCATCATTTTTTGTTGTGTTGTATGTCTCTTTTTCTCTCTCGCTCTATCTCTTCCTTCCTCTCCTCTCCTGCTGTCTCTCATATGTTGGTTTTCTCTCCTCTCTCTCTCTCTCTCTGTTTCATCCCCTCTACATACAATGTTATGGGGCTTTCCGTATCTACTTATATTTGTCTCTTGTTTGTTTGTTGTCTCTCTCTCTCTCTCTCGACGGAGGCTCCTCGAGACCCCAGTTTTGCCGTGCCACTGGCATCGGCCAGAGCCGCCGACCTCATTTTCCGATGTACACCGCTTTTTATACTCACCGCCTTGGCCGCCGAGGCTCCACCACCACACCGTCCACCAGCTCCTCGCCGCGCATGCGGCTGCGCCCTGGTTCGTCTCACCCCGCAAACTACTGTCCTGCCACGGCGGCGCTGCCTGGCTTGCAGCGCCTCGCCGCAAACCCTCCGCATGGGCTGCCTAGTGTTAAATAGGGTATGTCCCTCTACATATTCAATAATGCGAACAAAACTAGTCTGGGGACGACTTTTCGATTCTGATTGACTATGTTTGATTCTTTGTTTTGCAATGTTTCAATGTTTTGCCTCACAATTCGCCTGTAGGGGGACATGCCCGACCTAAGCCTTGTCGGGGAATGGGGTGGGAGGGCAGCGACCGCCACGCCTCGTGGAGGCGTCCAGCCACGGCGCCTCTCGACTGTGCTCCCTCCTTCGACTGCAGGCCCCCGACGCCTGACCAGCGATGCCCCCAGGACGTCGGTGGCAACGACAGGCGGGGGGTGGGCTCAGGGGGGGGGGGTCCTCGAGCTGGAGTCGGCGATACATTGTCGATAGATCGGCGAGATGCCCCCGATAGCGAATCCGCACGTTCCTGCGCGGATGGGCTATCAGCATCCAATAGGCGATGTATCGCCGATTCCAGCTCGATGTTTCTCCCCCTGAGCCTATCCCCCCCCCTACGGTCGGGAGCTTTTGGATAGCGTGTCGCTTCGCCGGTTCTGGCCCACCACGCTTCGGCGCGCGACACACTATCCATTTCGCATTGAGACTGAGACTGTCTGGTTTTAAGACATCGGCTTCATGTTCTAAGAGCATTGTTTTTGTTGTAAGAAGAGTGTGTTGCTGTAAGTGCATGTTGTGGTAGGCCTATGTGAATGCCGGGACGGTCGCCCCCTGCTCAACAGGCGTCACGTGCCGAGTTTACCCCACCCCGCGGAGCGTAGGCGACGCGCTCTCCGCTTGGAAAGCATGGCGTCTCGCTGGGGCCGCCGCCGCGACACGCTGTGCAAAAGGTCTCGGCCGTATTGTTGGTCCTCAGGACGCGCCTGCCGCTGCAGCGTTGGCCGCATCTCAGGGTCGGCGGTCGAGCTCCCTTCGTTCAGGTTTGGGCTCTCGCCGCAAGCGGAGTTTTCGGGAGGGCCCCTCGAGGGATCAACCACCGACTTCGATATGAGCATGTGGGTATTGGTTGTGGTCGATCTGGCCGTCCTCGGACGCCGTATCGACCACAAACAGCACGAAGTTGGTCTCGGTGTTCTGACAAACATTGGCATGCGCAAGGCATCCCCCAGGGTGTGTCCTCGACGTGGTTGCTGGTCGCTTGCTGTCCCCGCAGCCCCTGCTGCTACAGCTTCTTCCTCACTCTACTCGAGATGCTGACGCGCTGCATTTTCCTTGTCCTCTCCTTCCCTGCCTCGCTTGCTCCGTGTTGTGCTGGGGCGGTGTTCGTGCCAGCCAGGGTGGAGTCGGGCCCGTGGAGTACTAAACAATTTTCTTCCTCCCTGCTCATCATCCTGCTCATCCTCGGCCAACATCTCCTCTTTCTCTTCCTTATCCTCCAGTGTACAAAGCCCCCCCTGTTTCATTGCGTGTCGCACGATGGGGTCACTTGGGGGATCAAGGTCCTCTGGCGCGCCCCCAGTCGACGCATAGAGGAGAATTTAGCGCAATGGGAAGGGATGGGTTGGATAGGGTAGGGTGTCAGATATTGCACGAGCGCGCCTAGCTTGTATCTGGCCTCTTTCTCCTCTCTCCCCCTTCCCCGCCCCTCCTCCCCCCCATGTGTGGAGGACGCCCAACGCATCAGACACAATGCAGACAAGCGCACAATGTAGACAAGACCACATGGGTTACGTTTATTCGGCCAGCCGTGAATGGTAGCCCATGAGGAACAGTGGTTTTCCCTTGCCTCTGGACGACGGGCGTTCTTTCGTCCCCTGGTCTTGGCCGCCTGCATCCCCTTCTCTGTGGGCCCACTGCACTCATCATCCTCTCTCCCCCCTCATCCTCCTCCTTCTCCTCCTCCTCCTCCTCCTCTCCTGCTCCTCCAGCTGACAAGCTGACAAGCTGCTGGTCTGAATATCCCACGGACGTAACCTTCCCTCCCCCAGGGCCGACTGGTGATTAAACAAGTAGCCTGGCGAATGTTATCGCTGGCGAGGTTGGAGATGCAGTACGAGGTGAATGACAACAGACATAAGGAAAAGGGGGAGGAAGGGGACGGGAACAAAGATCTTACCCTCATAACCTCAAGAAGGAGGGGGAGGGGAGTGCTGGAACGGCCCGCGGCGGCGTGTGCAGTTGAGCGTAGGTGAGAGACGGTGTTGGCACTGGCAGTGGGTCGAAGAGGCGCTAGTTTGTGGAGGTGGCGTGGGCGGTGTGGGCACGGACATGGCCAGGCCACACCCGCTGAAAAGTGGAAGGCACAACGACCTCTCCCCCTACCCATAGGAAACCCGAAACGGCGGCCCGTAGTGCCGCCAAGGTCACCCTCACCCGCCGAGGCAGGCGTAGGGTTCTTGAGGTAGGGACCGGGGACCGCCGTGGGGTTTCCGCCGGGTGCGGGGGAGGTCTGCGCCTTCCGCGGTGGCGGCGGTGAAGCAGGGCGGCCGTGGTGCCCTCAGCCGCCCTGGCCATCGCCAGGGCAGCCAGCGGCTCATTGCTCTTCCGCCCCCTCCAGTGCCCTTCACGTTGGAGTAGAAGCCCGCTGAGTGGGAAAGGGGTGGCGAGGTGGCGAGCTGCGTGGGGCAGAAGGCGCGAAGGTCTCTCCCTCTCTCCCCCTGCCGGTAGGAATCTCCAGCATGCGCCCACCAGTCCTATGACGGGGACCCTCGCCTGCAAGCAGGCGTGGGGTTCCCGAGCGAAGGACTGGTGGCCACCTCTGGAGGTTACATTTGGCGCCGGGGAGGCGGTCACGGACGAAAGTGTGGCGCTGGCAGTGGGAGAGCGGTGGCTTGCGGTGCTGCTGACAGCAGCCGCCCTGGCCAACGCCAGGGTGGCCAGCGTCGGTGCGTCCCTCCGTGCCCCGCCCTAGTCCCCCCTCCCTGTATTGCGAGCGGCGGGAGTGTAGGTTGGCGGGGCAAGCTCCATCCCCCTACCCCACCCGTCCCTCCGCCACACGAGTGGGTACGTGAAGGTTCGTGGGGCGAAGGGGGGGGGGCGGCAAGGATGTGAGCCAGGAGGGAGTGATGGTTGGGTGGGGCCCCCTCAAGACCTTTGGGAAGGAGGCTCTTCGTGTTGCACCTCCGAGGCCCCAGCTCGCAGCAGGTGATTGAGGTCCCCACCAAGTAGGTGCATGAGAGAGCTCTATCCACTGGTCTTGTGTGGCTTGAAATCTCGCTGCACGTTGGTCGCATAGCATACGCGGGTGAGAAAGCCACAGCGGCTCTGGAGCCCTGTATGACCGTGGACCCACTCCATAGCATAGCCTGTTGTGGGTGTGCTCGCCGTAAGTGCTGTGCTGCGTGATGGCCACGAGGGTGCTCGTGGAGGTGGTGGTGTGCCGTCGTCAGGGAGTGGTGGAGTTGGAGTCGCAGAGAGTACACCGCACTCACATCTATACCCCTGGGTGGGTGTATGTGCGGCCGTTTTTGCGTTGTCATGTGCGCGGCATGTGCCAGTCATGTGCCAGGCCTGTGCGGCCCTTCTTGGATGGACTTCCTACTGTGCACGTCGTGCCCGGGCATGTGCGGGGGCATGTGCGCTGTGTTTTGGTGTATCCATCATACGCACATGCACGCACAGTCCGACGCACATGCGCGCACATGCCTGCACATGCGGGAGGTATTCGAGAATCGCAGATCTGTCATCGGCACATGCACGCACATGCCTGTGCAACCTCTCTTCGGGAGGCCGCGCGGGCCCGCGCATGCACGCACATGCGGTGAAGCGCGCGGGCGCACATGCGTGCACATCCCAATGCACATGCACGCTCATGCCCTAGGAGCTGTCTGGGACCCCTGTGCCTCCAATGCCTCCTGGCCTTCGCAGGGCTAACCTGGGGCGTGCCAGGGCTTCCTGAAAGAGTTTGTTGTGCGTTTAGACTCGCCCGCTGCTGGCTGGGGCGGTTCTTCGCCCGGTTCGTGAGCTGGCGGTGGCGCGCCCGCCTAATAAAATACTCTCCCGCGCGCCTTCTCAGCTCGGCCGGAGAAGCATGGATGGGGGGGGGGAGGTGGAGGGGGGGGGAGGAGGGGGGAGCGGAGGAGGCGGGCGCCCCCGGCTCGGCCGGCCCGCCTGCCTGTTCGGCTCGGCCAGAGGAGAAGGAGGAGGAGGAGGAGGAGGAGGAGGAGGAGGAGGAAGAGGAGGAGGAGGAGGAGGAGGAGGAGGTGAGAGTTGCGAGGATGTCTCAGGCGAAAGTGGCTTGACGGCCCGAGCTCAGGGAATCTCGGAATCGCTGGCCTGGTTTGGCCACTGGCGAGTTCGGCCTGTGCGAATACAGTGCGTACCTGTGCGGGGCATGTGCGGGACGTGCAAGAATGCGGGGGCCGGCGTTCGTCTCCGGGCGCCGGCGCGTTCGCGTCCGCGCGCAAGATATCCTCGCCCGAGATGCCCTGAGTTGAGGTGTTCAGGCCACTTTCGCCTGAGACATCCTCGCAACTCTGACCTCAATGATGCCCTGCTCCATAGTGTCTCGTCCTTTTTCGCCTGAAGCCCTCGCAACTCTGGGTTCCGAGATGCCCGGAGCAGGTGGTCAGGCCACTCCTGCCTGAGACATCCTCGCAACTCTGGGTTCCGAGACGCCCTGGGCTGAGGTGGTTAGACCACTCTCGTCAGAGACATCCTCGCAACTCTGACCTCAGAGATCTTTTGCCCCATGATGGTCAGGCCACTTTCGCCTGAGACATCCTCACAACTCAGACCTCGGAGGTGTCCTGCCCCATGGTGGTCTGGTCGCCACTCTGGTTTCCAAGATGCCGTGCCCCATGGTGGTCCGGCCACGTTTGCCTGAGACATCCTCGCAACTCTGGGCTGCGAAATGCCCCGAGCTCAGGTGGTCAGGCCACTATCGCCTGCGACATCTCTGCAGCATGTGCGGGCATGTGCGTCTATGCTTTCAGAGTTTTGCTTGACCGTGCATTCGAATGTGCGTCGGACGGTGTGGCATGTGTGCGCATGTGCGGCAATGCTGTTGAGGCTTTTGTATATTTGCATGGGCATGTGCATGCGACTGTGCGGCATGTGCCTGCATGTGCGGCCCCTTTCCGGACCACAATTTCAAAGTGAGCTTCATAGAAATGAGCGCTATAGAAGTGAGTCCGGTGTACCTAGTCTGTGCGGGCCAACTGTTGCTTCTGCTGGGCGCATTGGTTGAGGTGCCCAGTGAGTGCGGCATGTTGGTAGGAGGGTAGTACCGAGAAATGGATGTGGGAGAGAGTAGCTGGCCGCTGGTGGTGTCTCCTGTCGGTCTAGGAGAGCAAAACTGGTCAAAAATGTAGGAGGTGGGTGGCGCACCGACGGGCCGCCGTTCGGTCCCATCTTGAAGCGAAAGCTTCAGCGGTTGTGGGTGACCAGGGGCAGTCTCCTGATTCATCAGAGTGGTCGGCTATTTGGGCTGGTAGACCTGTGCGAAGGGCGTCCACGGTGTCCGTCGCCGACTTGGTTGCACTGGTAGGGACCGGTATGGGTGGTCTTGGCGGCGTCAATGGCCTGCTTGGCAGCGTAGTCTAGCTTGTCGTGCGCGAGGCAGGCCGCATCTTCGCTTTCGCCGTGGGTCGCCTTCGTGTCGGGTACCAGCGGTGAGTACCTCGTGTCGCCGATATTTTTGCCCGTTGTCTGGGGGCTGCTGTTCGCGTTCATGATGCGAGTTGGTGCTGGCTTCTGCTGTGCGGTATCGGTGGTGGTCGCCAGCCAGGTGTGCTTCTCCTCGATCAGGCGTCGGGGAGAGAAGAGGAACAAGTCCCTGCTAAGGGTGTCGATGATGTGGAGTAGGTCTCGGCTCTTCGGCGTTGGGCCTGCCAGTGCTGGGCCGGTGTGTGTTTAGGCTCTTCTGCGCGCTCTGTGTCGTGGTGCTAGGTTCTCCTGGCGCGTGATGGTTGCCCGTGACGTCCCCCAGGGCTGGTGGTGGTGGTGGTGGGGGGGGAAGGGGGGGGGGGTGAAGAAGGAAGGAGGAGGGGAAGGAGGGGCGAGGATGAAGGAGGAGGAGGAGGAGGAGGAGGAGGAGGAGGAGGAGGAGGGGGGGAAGCGGGTCAGGGTGGAATGACGGGGAAGAAGGAGGAGGAGGAAGAAGAGGCGGAGAAGTCAGAAGGATTACGGAAGAGGATACGCACAGGAGGATGATGTAGGAGGAGTGGTGGCGAGCCTCTGTTCGGGCCCCTCGCGGAGAGGACGACCAGGCAGAGGACGCAGAGCCGGGCACAGACGTCGACGGTCTTCGGCAAGCCGCGCCAGCAGCAGGGCCGCACAGAGCGTTCGCTTTGAAGGCGCAGCCGGCTGCCGTCTAAAGACGATGAGCTCACTGAAGGCCAACAAGTATTATTTGTTGTGACAGTTGCAGCTTTCAGTGAACTCAGTTTTGCCTTCAGCGAGCCCACCAAATTCAGAAGCCGTCAAAACAAGGGTCGCCTTCAGAAGTGGTTTTGCCTCAGTCTGCCCTCACCTCTTCTCCCCGTTTCCGCAATACCAGTCCCGTCTCGAAGGTCGAGTTGTTTTTGTTTTTGTGTTGCCTTTCTGGCCCCCTCCTGGGCCTCTGCATTCTCCCGAAGCTTCGCGGACCGTTGGAGACCTCCCGGGGGCCTTGCAAGATCTCCCCCTCCCCGCTCCCCACTCAACCCTCCCATTCACACTCTCTTCCCCTCCTTCGGTGGGGATGTGTGGTGTCATCCACTGGGGGTCGTGGTGTGGAGACAAGAGGCGTTGCATCGCAGCGCCTCCCAAGAGCAGTCGACCTGCGACCTGGCCATCATGCCGAGTGAGATGGAGGACGGGGTGGAAGAAGCAGAGAAGGATGATGATGATGATGATGATGATGAGGAGGAGGAGGAGGAGGAGGAGGAGGAGGAGGAGGTCAGGGGCAACGATAGGGGTGGATAGGCATGGGGGGTCCCATCGACCCCCATCGCCCATTGATCGCCGATAGGGGTCTGACAGCCCCACCCCGCCCAGGCGCGTGGGGACCTGCTATCGGGAACCTGTCGCCAATATATCAGCGATGTATCGCGGATTCCAGGTCGAAGTTCCCCACCGGAGGAGGAGGGGGCCGATGAGGGGGAGGAGGAGGAGCAGGAGTCGGAGGCGTGCTTGGCGGACACGACGCTTGTCACAAGTGGGCATCGCCTGAGGAGGGCGTTGGCGCCGAGGTGTGCCCCCAGGGTGCCCCACACCCATCAGAGCTCTTCCTTGGCACCGCTCGGGCATATGCACTTGGTTGGCGGCGAGGACCATCGAGGAACATCCTGGACCACCTTGTGAAGAATTCACGCACGACATCGACACATGCACGTGGAATGGTGCCCCAAAGGGCCGCTGGAGTTGGCCCCGCACGGCGGCTCATGCCGACGTCCGCCCCATGCCGTTGAGCCTCCTGGTCATCGACACAGCCGCGCTGAGCCTCGCGCTGTGGATACACACCCTCCGAACACCCCCGGCAGGGACGTTGGTGCCTAGGTTCCACGTCGCGTCTGTGCGGCAGGACGGTGGAAGTGGCCAGCAGTCCTTCAAGTGCTTCTCTACCTCTCTGGTACACAGTTCGGCGCATTCTTTAAGACTCGACAGGTAGCACCAATTCCTCGAAGTATTCGAAGAGGCTCATAACTCCGCTGGAGAGCTGCGCGGCCACCTGCAACTTTGGGCCACGACGCTGCAACGTGATGTCGTCCACCACGCTGTGCAGATACAACGAGGGCCTGTGCTCCGTTGCCTCCAGCAGCGGGCCAGCCGAGACCAGCTTGGCCAACGTGGTGGCCGCGGAGCAGATGGCCAGACTGGTGCCATTCGCGACGACGACCCCCGACGCTGCCCCACCATAGGGGAGCGCGCGGAGACCTGCGCTCAACGTGCAGTTGCCTCGTAGCAGCCGCACTGGGACATGAAGTCGCCTGGCCGCTCCGAGCAGCGAGGAGTGCCAGACATCCTCGCACAACTTGGCAAGGTCAGGCAGGGCAGACGCCGACGTGAAAACCCTGCCTGCTTGCAGCGAGCCCCCCAAGAGGTTACGCGCCCAGCCTGGTCGCCCGCACGTGGCGTCTGGGCCCGAGCCCCAGGACAGATCGAACGAACACACTCCTCCTCCGCTTCAGATGCGCGAATGTGTCGAGCGGATCCCTCCTCCTCATTCCGACCTCCTCCTCCTCCTCCTCCTCCTCCTCCTCCTCCTCCTCCTCCCCCCCTCCTCCTCCCCCTCCCCCTCCTTCTCCTCCTCTTCCTCCTCCTCCTCCTTCTCCTCCTCCTCCTCTTCCTCCTCCTCTTGTCCTGTTCAGCAGGCGCACTGGCGGTGAGCGCTTGAATTCAGACTTTTCCCACCTACGCCACGGACGGCACGGACGGCACATGGCTTCGTGCTCGTGCTCGTGCCTGGTCGCCCGCACGGGGCGTCCGGGCCCGAGCCCCAGGACTGATCCAGCACACGCGACTCTTCCCGGCGACGGCAGACGTGCCGCCTCGTGCGGCTCCAGGGTCCCCGCGGAGAGACGCGTGAGCCCAGTAGGCCCAATCCCTCCAGCTGGTGTGCCCAGGAAGACCACACTCGCCAGGAAGTGCAAGAGCGGTGCGGGATCGAGCTCGCGCAGGGCAGGGATCCCGATCAGCCCGAACTGGTGGGCCTCGGGCGACGGCAAGATATCCAGCGCGTGCGGAGGCCGTCCCCGGCCAGGCGTGCTTCCTGCAGGCCCTCTGCAGCTCGGCGAGGGCGGGGGACGGGAGCTCGGGGTCGTCCGCCAGGACGTCCCAGGCGCGGGGCGGAGGGCTTCGGCCGGGCACGAGGCCCGTGGGCGCCCGCGCATCCAAGCGCGTTTGGAGCTCGGCCTGCCCAGCCACGGGCAGTGGCTCGTTGTGCACCCCCCTCCATCTTCGACCTGGTCCCTGCCTGCGCGCGCGGTTCGTGCTCACTGCGGGGCAAACGGAAGGGGAGAGAGAGAGGGTAGAGAGACAGAGGCGTACGGGTGCGACAGCTTTCCTCATCGCCCCTGGTCGCGAAACGCAACTCCCACTCCATACTTTGTTTCCTCCTCCTCCTCCTCCTCCTCCTCCTCCTCCCCCCCCATTCGCCCGGCCAGGCCCGCATGACATCAGTTTCCGAAGCCTCACGGGGGGCGGGGAACACGAAATTGCAGTGGCAGGGCGCAACACACATTGATCTTGGGCTGGGGGGGCTATTGGAACGAGATGTCTTGGGAGGTCGAACTGATCACCCTCAGTCGTATAGAAAGGGGGACGGACCTTATTCCTCAACGAAGACCCTGAGGGAGGAGGAGGAAGAGGAGGAGGAGGAGGAGGAATCGGGGGAGGACGAGGATGAGGAGGAGGAGGAGGAGGAGGAGGAGGAGGAGGCGGAGGATAAGGGAAAGAGGGAGGAAAAGAGGGTAAGAGGAGTAAGAGGAGTAGGAGGATGAGGATAGTTCGAGGAGGAGGATGAGGAGGAGGAGGAGGCGTAGGAGGAGGATGAGAACCTGAGGAAGAGGAGGAGGGGGAGGAGGAGGAGGAGGAGGAGGAGGAGGAGGAGGAGGAGGAGGAGGAGGAGGGTAGGGGACAGGACGAGGAGGAGGAGGAGGAGAGGAGGAGGAGAGGCGGAGATGAGGCGTCGACAAGGAAACGCAGGAGAGGAGGAGCAGGAGGAGGAGGGGGAAGAGAAGACGGAGTTGAGGAGTTGAGGGAGTCGAGGGACGGAGGAGTCTTTTGAGGAGGCGAGGAGTCGAGGAATCGAGGAGTGGAGAGTCGAGGACGGGAGTTCGAGGAGTCGAGGAGGAGGAAGAAGCGGAGCACAACAAGGAGGGAGAAGGAGGAGGAGGAGGAGAAGGAGGCGTCGAGAAGGAACACCAGTAGGAGGAGGGGAGGAGGAGGGGAGGAGGAGGAGGAGGAGGAGGAGGAGAGGAGGAGGGAGAGAGGATGTATGAGATGAGGAGGAGGAGGAGGAGGAAGAGGAGGGGAGGAGGAGGAGCAAGAGGAGGAGGGCAGGAGGAGGAGGAGTAAGAGATGGAGGAGGAGGAGGAGGAGGCGGAGGAGAAGGAGAGGAGGGGGTGAGGAGGAGGAGAGGAGGAGGAGGGGGTGGAGGAGGAGGAGTCGAGGAGCAGTCAAGGCGCAGTCGAGGAGGAGACGGAGACGGAGACGCAGGATGAGGAGGAGGAGGAGGCAGGGGAGTCGAGGATGATGATGCTGATGGTGATGATGATGATGATGATGATGATGATGATGATGATGATGATGATGATGATGATGATGATGATGATGATGATGATGATGATGGTCATGGTGATGGTGATGATGATGATGAGGAGGAGGAGGAGGAGGAGAAGGAGGAAGTGGAGGAGGAGGAGGAACCAAGGAGGAGTCGAGGATGAGTCGAGGAGGAAGAGGAGGAAGAGGAAGAAACAGAGAAGGAGTAGGGGGAGGAGAATGAGGAGAAAGAGGAGGAGGATGAGGAGGAGGAGCCAAGGTGGAGTGCAGAGGAGGAGGAGGAGGAGGAGGAGACCGAGACGGAGTTGTTGATGATGCTGATGATGATGATAATGATGCTGATGATGCTGCGGATGATGATCATGCTGATGCTAATGCTGATGCTGATGGTGTTGGTGATGCTGGTTCTGATGGTGATGGTGATAATGCTGACGACGATGCCGATGATGATGCTGATGATGATGGTGATTGTGATGATGATGATGATGATGATGTTTATATGATGATGATGCTAATGATGCTGATGATGTTGATGATGACGATGATGATGCTGATGATGATGATGACGATGGCGATGGTGATGCTGATAGTGATGATGATGATGGTGATGATGATGCTGACGCTGACGCTGATACTGATGATGATGATGCTGATGTTGCTGATGGGGCTGATGGCGCTGATGACGACGACGACGATGTTGATGATGATGATACTGATGCTGATGATGATGATGATGGTGATGCTGATGATGAGGATGATGATGAGGATGATGATGAGGATGATGATGATGCTGCTGATGCTGATGCTGCTGCTGATGATGATGGTGCTGCTGATGATGATGATGATGATGATGATGATGATGATGGTGGTGCTGATGATGATGTTGATGCTGATGCTGCTGCTGATGATGATGATGATGATGATGATGATGCTGCTGCTGATGATGATGATGATGATGATAATGATGATGGTGCTGATGATGCTGATGCTGCTGCTGATGATGCTGATGGTGATGACGATGATGCTGCTGGTGATGAGGAGGAGAAAGATGAGGAGGAGGAGGAGGAGGAGGAGGAGGCGGCGGATGAGGAGGATGAGGAGGAGGATGAGGAGGCGGATAAGGAAGCGAGCGCCGAGGAACAGTCGAGGAGCAGTCGAGGAGGAGTCGAGGAGGAGGAGGAGGAGGCGGCGGAGGAGGATGAGGAGGCCGAGACGTCGTGGATGAGGAGGAGGTGGCGGATGAGGAGGACGGGGAGGTTGAGGAGACGGAGGATCTGCGGCGTCGATAAGGAACACCAGGAGGAGGAGGAGGAGGAGGAGGCGGAGGATGAGGAGGAGGGGATGAGGAGGAGGAAGACAGGAGACGAGAAAGAGGAGGAGCGTGGAGAATAGGGGAGGAGGAGGAGGAGGAGGAGGAGGAGGAGTGGCGAGGAGGAGTGGGAATTGAGGAGAGGGCGGGGGAGGATGAAAGGGGGGAATGGGAGGAGGAGGAGGAGGATGAGGAGGAGGAGGAGGAGGAGGAGGAGGAGGAGTGAGAGTGGAGGAGTGGAGGAGGAGGAGGGAGAGGAGGAGGAGGAGGAGGGAGGAGGAGGAGGGAGGAGAAGGAGTGGAGGAGGAAGAGGAGAAGGAGAAGTGCGGAGGAGGAGGAGGAGGAGGAGGATGAGGCGACGGAGGCGTCGGAGGAGGAGGAGGAGACGAAGACGGAGGAGGAGGAGGAGGAGGAGACGGAGACGGAGGAAGAGGAGGAAGAGGAGGAGGAGGAGGAGGAGGAGGAGGATGCTGATGATGATGATGATGAGGAGGAGGAGGAGGAGGAGGCGGATGAGGATGATGGTGCTGATGTTGATGCTGCTGCTGCTGATGATGATGATGATGACGGTGATGATGATGATGCTGATGGTGATGATGATGATGATGATGATGATGATGATGATGATGATGGTGATGATGCTGCTGATGACGATGGTGATGATAATGATGATGATGATGATGATGATGATGATGATGATGACGATGCTGCTGATGATGATGATGGTGATTGTGATGATGCTGATGATGTTTATATGATGATGATGATAATGATGCTGATGCTGTCGATGATGACGATGATGATGATGATGCTGATGACGATGCTGATGATGCTGATGCTGATGATGATGATGCTGATGATCATGATGAGGATGATGATGCTGATGCTGATGATGATGATGATGATGCTGATGATGCTGTGCTGATGTTGATGCTGCTGCTGCTGATGATGATGATGATGACGGTGATGATGATGATGCTGATGGTGATGATGATGATGATGATGATGATGATGATGATGATGATGGTGATGATGCTGCTGATGACGATGGTGATGATAATGATGATGATGATGATGATGATGATGATGATGATGACGATGCTGCTGATGATGATGATGGTGATTGTGATGATGCTGATGATGTTTATATGATGATGATGATAATGATGCTGATGCTGTCGATGATGACGATGATGATGATGATGCTGATGACGATGCTGATGATGCTGATGCTGATGATGATGATGCTGATGATCATGATGAGGATGATGATGCTGATGCTGATGATGATGATGATGATGCTGATGATGCTGATGCTGATGATGATGATGCTGATGATCATGATGAGGATGATGATGATGATGCTGATGATGATGATGATGATGGTGATGGTGATGATGATGCTGATGCTGATGCTGATGATGATGATGGTGATGATGATGTTGATGCTGTGTGATGATGATGATGATGATGATGATGTGATGATGATGATGATGATGATGAGATGATCGATGACGATGATGATGATGAGGAATGGTGAGATGAGGGTGGTGATGATGATGTGAGGAGGAGGAGGAGGAGGAGGAGGAGGAGGACTGAGAAGGAGGAGGGGAGACCAAGGTGGATTGTGGGGCGGAGGAGGAGGAGAGGAGGAGGAAGATAGGAGCAGGTAGGACAAGGAGGAGGAGGATGAGGAGGAGGAGGGGGAGGAGGAGAGGATACGGAGGAGGAGGAGGAGAAGGAGGGGGAGGAGGAGGAGAGGACGAGGAGAGGGGAGGAGGAGGAGGAGGAGGAGGGTGGGGAAAAGGAGGAGGGCAGGAGGAGGAGGAGGAGGAAGAGGAGGAGTAGGAGGAGGAGGGGGAGGAGCAGGAGGGGAGGAGGAGGAGGAGGAGGAGGAGGGAGGAGGAGGAGGAGAGACGGAGACGGAGACGGAGGACTGGAGACGGAGACGGAGACGGAGGAGGATGTCGAGGAGGAGGAGGAGCCAAGGAGGAGTGAGGAGGGAGGAGGAGGAGGAGGGGAGGAAGCAGGAGGGAGGAGGAGGAGGAGGATTCGGAAGCGGAGGATGGTGGAGGCGGAGTAGGAGGAGGCGGAGCAGGAGACGGAGGAGGAGGAGCCCCCCCCCCCCCCCCACCAACGAGTGTGGAGCAGGAGAGGAGGAGGAGGAGAGGAGGAGGAGAAGACGGAGACTGAGACTGAGACGGAGGGAGGAGGGATGCGGAGGAGGAAGCAGGAGGAGGAGGAGGAGGAGGAGGAGGAGAGGAGAGGAGGAGGAGAGGAGGAGGAGGAGATGGAGAGGGGAGGAGGAGGAGTGCGGAGGAGGAGGAGGAGGGGAGGGAGGAGGAGGAGGAGGAGAAGGAGAGGACGGTAGGAGGAGGAGAGGAGGAGGAGGAGGAGGAGGAGGAGGAAGGAGGGAGGAGACGTAGGAGGAGGAGGAGGAGGAGGAGGAGGAGGAGGAGGAGGAGGAGGAGGAGGAGGAGGAGGAGGCGGAGGAGCAGGAGGAGAAGTAGCGCAAAGGTAAGAGCAGAGGAAGGGGGCCCTGTGCAGGCAGCCTGCTTGGGGCTCGCGGCGTCCGCGCTGCTCGCGGCAGCGCTCCGCGCCGCCCCGCGGCCGGGGCGGGGCGTCGCGAGGCGTCTGCCCCGCCCGGGGCGTTTCGGGGAGGCTTTCGGATGCTTTCGAGGGTTTCGAGGATTGGCTCGAGGGCCCTCGGAAGACTTCGAGGGTCCTCGGAGGGCTCGGGGGGCTCGAGGGCTGGAGGATCCGAGGGCTCGCGTGATTCCTCCCGTTCCCCCCTCTGTCCTCCTCCTTCTCTTCCTCCTCCTCTCTTCCTCCTTCTCCTCCTCCTCTTCCTCCTTCTCCTCCTCCTCCTCATCCTTCTCCACCTCGTCCACGACTTCGCTGACAATCACAGCTACTTCGGCCTCCAGGAGGTCAACAGCGCAAGCCGAAGTGGCTCTCGGCCATCGGTGCGTGTATTCCGCGCAAGCGAGGCTAGGCATGGAGACTTCTTGTCCACGCTGGGCTCGTCCTCCCCCTCCTTCCCCCTCTGTACCTCCTCCGATTTCGCCAAACACAGGCTGGCACACGCCGTGGCGTCGCGCGCGTGGCGAAAGAACCTTGTCGTCGAATGCCACGGTCTTTCCTGTCCCCTGTGCCCCCATCGCGGCCCTCCTCAGAGATTTGCTCGGACGAATGTGCTTTTTGGGAGCCCGGCCCTCTGGTCCAGGGCAGAACGGCGTCAGTATCTTGGGACTTTGCGGAGATTATGCCTCTGGCGTCGATCAAGAGGTCGAGCGCAGGCTGCATCGCAGCCTTCGATCGCGCGTTCTCTTGGTCGAGTCCCGCTTGCACTTTGTATTCGCCTGTTGAGGGAGAAGAGGGCTTATGCGTTGCCAGTCCAGCCGTTGGTTAGCATAGGGGCGGGGGCTAGGAGGGGGGGACTTTGGGAGGGTGATCCTTTACGACATGCAAGAGCGCAGCTCTAGCACGTACAGGGCCGTAGAAGCTTTGTCTTGATTGGACGACATCAATTCTGCAATCCAAGGTCACCGCAGCATTGTTGTCGAGGGCCCCGCTCGGGCCGGCGAGGACTTTGCGGCTGCTTGCAAGAAAGCGCGCTTACAGATCCCAGACAAGTCGTCCACCGTAGATAACAAATCACGCTCAACGAGATTTTCTTTCGGTTGGGTAAGGCCGGCATCCCCTTGAAAGCTGCCGCCGCTGCCCCAGACCCCGGGATCGACAGGGGCAGGGTTGCAGCGGCAAGACCGCGAGCCCGAGCTAAGCACGCACAAGAATGGGAGCATCAGCGATGGCCATTCGTGGTAGTAAAGCGCGGCTCGATCCTTATAGAACCCGGAGGGTAGGCCTACCCTTGGCCTACCCCTAGGACTACCCCCTAGGCCTACCCTAGCCCTACCCCTAGGCCTACCCCGTAGGCCTACCCCGTGGGCCTGCCCTAGGCATACCCCCTAGGCCTTCCTCCTAGGCCTACCCTAGGCCTACCCCTAGGCCTACCCCCTAGGCCTACCCTAGCCCTACCCCTAGGCCTACCCCCTTAGGCCTACCCCAAGGCCTTCCCCCGAGGCCTACCCTAGGCCTACGCCTGGGCCTACCCCTAGGCCTTCCCCCTAGGCTAACCTAGGTCTACTTCTAGGCCGTTCCCTGAGGCGCACCCTAGGCTTACCCCCTAGGCCGCCCGCCCGACCCGACCCACCCGACACGACCCGTTAGGGTTCTCGCGTGTCCACTCGATGACGCATCATACTTTAATGTCCAGCCCGCCCGACCCGACCCGCCCGTTCGGGTCCGACCCGACCCGACCCGACCTTCCCGTTAGGATCCGCCCGACCCTTCCCGTCCCGCCCGTTAGGATCCGCCCGACCCGACCCGTTCCGACCCGATCCGTTAGGGTTCTCGCGTGTCGACGCATTGATGCATCATACTTTAATGTCCCGCCGACCCGACCCGATCCGCCCGTTAGGGTCCGAACCGATCCGACCCGACCCGACCAGTTAGGGTCCACCCGACCCGTCCCGTCCCGACCCGACCCGCTAGGGTTCTCGCGTGTCCACTCGCACGTGCATTCCCGCCGACACGCTCCGACCCGGCTGTTAGGATCCGGCCCGACCCGACCCCATCCGCCCGTTAGGGTCCGCCCGACCCGACCCGAGCCGCCCGACCCGACCCGACCCGTTAATTAGGGTTCTCGCGTGTCCATTCGCACATGCATCATATTTGAATGTCACGCCCGCCCGACCCGACCCGCCCGTTAAGCTCCGACCCGACCCGACCCGACCCGTCCCGCGGGCTCGACCCATCCCGCCAGTTAGGGTCCCACCCGATCCGACCCGACCCGCCCGTTAGGGTCCGCCCGACCCGACTCGAGCCGCCCGTTAGGGTTTGCTCGACTGGTCCCGTCCCGACCCGACCCGACCAGTTAGGGTTCTCGCGTGTCTTTTCGCACATGCATCTTACTTTATGTCCCACCCGCCCGCCCCGACCCGCCCGTTAGGGTCCGACCCGACCCGACCCGACCCGCCCGCTAGGGTCCGCCCGACCCGTCCCGTCCCGACCCGACCCGTGAGGGCTCTCGCGTGTCCATTCGCAGAGGCATCCTACTTTAATGTCCCGCTCGCCCGACCCGACCCGCCCGTTAGGGTCCGGGCCGACCCGACCCGACCCGACCCGACCCGCCCGTTAGGGTCCGCCCGACCCGACCCGACCCGTCCCGACCCGACCCGTGAGGGTTCTCTCGTGTCCATTCGCACATGCATCAAATGTCGCGCCGACCCGACCCGGCCCGCCGGTTAGGGTCCGACCCGTCCTGGCCCCTTTCTCTGCATTCCTCTTCGTCATCCTCACTTCTCATGCTTTTTCCTACTCGTCCTCACCCTTCTCCCTTCTCTCCCCTGTTTATCCTCTTCTCTCCTCTTCCGCACTGGTTCTCCTGACTCACTCTTTGCAATTCCTCCTCCCTACTCAATCCTCACTCTACCTCTTCCCCCGTCGCCCTTAGTTTTCATTATCATTTTTCCTCGATCTCACCCTCTCCTTTCTCTCTCCTGCTCCTCGCTTATCCTCCTCGCTCCTTGTCCTTTCACTTCTCTTCTATATTCACTCCTCACTCTACCTCTGCACTTTTCTTCTCCTTACTTCTCCTATCACTTCTCTTCTATATTCACTTCGCCTTTCACTTCTCTTCTATATTCACTCCTCACTCTACCTCTGCACTTTTCTTCCTCCTGATCCTCGGTCCTCCTTGTCACTCTCCCCTCCCCTCGTGAAGCGGAGGAGTGAATCGATCCCCACTGCCAATGTTTCTATGTGCGTGAGGAGGGCTCCTGGGAGTTGCTGATCATACCCAGGCTATGACGCCTTTGGGGTTAGCATTTCCTGGGCCTACCCTGAGCCTGACCCCCTAGGCCTACCCTAGGCTTACCCCTAGGCTTACCCCCTAGGCCTACCCTAGACCTACCTCCAAGCCTTGCACCTCGGCCTACGCTAGGCCTATCCCTAGGCCTACCCCCTAGGCCTTCCCATAGGCCTACCCCTAGGCCTACCCCCTAGGCCTACCCTAGGCCTACCCCTGGGCCTTCCCCTAGGCCTACCCCCTCGGCCTACCCTAGGCCCACCACTAGGGCTTCCCCCTAGCCCTACCCTAGGCCTACCCCTAGGCCTTGGGTAGGGCCTACCCTAGGCTACCCTAGGCTACCCCCCCGGGTTCTATATCTCTCGATCGTGCGTCCGTTTTGCGGTAGGGGGTCGTTCTTCGGATAGAGTGCGGTGCGAACGTATTCGGCCTCTCTCCTTCGAAACTCTTCATTTGGCGTCGCTCGCTCGGCAGGCTGCGCACTCCTCGTATGGAAGGCAGGTGTTTGGGTACTTTGCATCGGATCGAGATGGGCTCAGGCGATCTGGTTTCGTCTGCGTTTTGTAACGTTGCGGACTCGTTGCTCATGGTTTCGCAGCTGGCCCAAAGCAGCGAGCCGCAGCGGAGCACCTCTGGCAAACACTCGTTTTCTCAAGCATCACATCGTCCCAGTCAGAAGGGCCGCTGGAGGCGACCAGCAAGAATGTGCATGCCCATGGTAAATTATCGTCCGGGCTTGACTTGGTACCCCCGCGGGCCCTGGCATTTCAGGAGCGCAAGAAGGACGTACACGTACATGAATCCACGCTGGGTTCGAGGCTCCGCATTGCGCGAATGTTCGTATCATGCGGCCGGTCTCGCGGGTATAAAGGGGTCGTGTTCATGTGCATAGCTGGGCGCGTACGTCTTTTGTGTGGGCTCCCTAGCACCTGGACGCTCCAGAATAAGTCGAGTCCGAGGTTTCGGATGGGCTTCCAGCCCCAGGCAAGGCCGACGTTTCGGAAGCACTCGATCCGCCGAACGATCGAGGATGATCTCCAGAGGCGTGCCTGTAAGTACTACTGTAGCGAAGGCCTTGCGTTAATCTCGCTCCCACCATGCAGTTGATGGGAGAGTAGCGAAGGCCTTGCGTTGATCTCGCTCCCACCTTTCAGTTGATAAACCGCAAACGCTCCAGGTGGGAGTGGTACGGTGCCTGTGTGGCTGCGGTCACGGGATCCTCCTGGCCCAGGGCTCGTCTGGCCGAGAAAGGTATCAACGTTTACGAATTGTGCCAGCGTTGTGATATATACCAAATTGTCATCGACAACGGCCTTCTGGATGACCGTGCCGGCGCAGGCGCCATGGCCTGCTAAGCCAGATCGACAGGAACCTCGCCAGAGTGCACGACGAAGTTACCAGGGTGCCTCTCCTGCAGGAGGAGCTCGTCCAGCGTGCACGCCCAGCGGAAGATGGTGTCGTCCACTGCTCGCGCCGCCTTTGTGCCCTTCGGCCAGAACAGCCTGCGCTGGAGCACGTCTGCAGGCCGGACTGGTGGCCGGCCGGGCACGTTAGCGCACTCCCACGCGATGTGGTCCAGTGTTCCGTGTGGCGCACCACACCAGGGGCACTCCCCCAGACTGGGGTCCCTCCTGGCGATCGCATTGCACATGGGCGAGACGACGGCGCCTGCCAGCACCCTCATCGCCTTCCCTGGGTTCTCGTTGTAGCACCGGGCCACAGCCTTGACCCTGACGGGGTTGTAGCCGATGCCGCTCTGCCTGATGATGGCCGCGTCGCGGCGCTTGGAGTTGATGAAGCTGTCGTACTGGGCATGGCGCCAGGCTTCGCGCAACACGTGCCCCAGCGCCCTGGGTGGCCTCCATTCCCGGCTGGTGTGGTCCAGCGTGATGAGAGTATTTTCCAAGCCTGAATGCTGCCAGGTCCACCGGGCGGCGGTGGGTCTCCATCCCGTCCATTTGAGGTGGCTGCTTACCTCAGCGGCGAAGCTTCCCTTCTGCGTCCAGGGCAACTCCCGGGCGAAGTCGCTGAGGGTGTGGGCCCGCTTGGATACGACTCTGGCCAGTGCCATGATCGTGTCCTGCTGTGCGCGGAACCGGGGGTCAGCTCTGTGCCCCCAGGCCAGTCGACGTAGAGGCGGCGCACTCTGTCGAGGAGGCCGCAACGCCTTTGCCACGCCTTGTCGGAGCCGGTCCGCCGCTCCGCTCGGCATAGGCTGCTCGACCCATCCGAAGGCCGCCTTGGAGACGGGCCGTGCGGCACAGATCTCTCTATTTTCCTTCCGTTGGTGCGGGAGCTGGCGCGCCCTGGCAAGCTGCGCCTCTGCTGTTCTGAGCCGCCTGGTCTCCTTCTTAGAGAGCTTCCTGCTGCGCCCACCAGTGATCTTGACCCCCAGCACGTCGATGGCGTCGTGGATGCTGGCTGGGTCAATTCCTGCCTCTGCAAGTTGCCGCCTTTGGCGAGGACGCCGGTGCAGCCACTGCTTTTTCTTTTCGTTTTCCTTCAAGCCCAGCGTCTCTGACCACTTGGTCCAGTAGTCCGCGGCGCGGAGCATGGTGATGATGCTGGGGCTCTCCCAGGTGCGGTCGTCGATGTACAACTGCACGTGGATGTCCTCGCAGTTGTGCTTGATCTGCTTGAGCGGCGCAAGCAGCACTGCGCAGAGGGCCATTGGCGACCAGGGGTCCCCCTGGGGGAGGCTGCTGCTGACCCTCTGTTGTTCCTGCAGGGTGCAGCCCGCGAGCTGCAACCACCGGCGCTGATCTCCCCACGTGCTCATCAGCATGTTGCCAGTGTTTGAAGGGAGGCCCAGCTCAGACAGCACGTGGCCGGCGATGGCGGGGTCCGCCATATCGAAAGCGAGGCTGTAGTCCCAGGAGGTGACGTACATGTCCATGTTCGCCGCCACTATCGCGGACGCAGTGGCCTGGTGCGACTCGAATCCCTTCTTCGCACCGACCATGTCCGTATCCCACCAGGTGTCTTGCCACCTGCGGCTGGCCTCTGAGCGTACCCTGGAGGTCGCCCACAGCCTGTACCAGGCGCTCGCCACGCAGATGGGCCGATAGTCCTCGGCGCTCAGCGCGTTGTTGCCTCCCTCGGGCACAGCCTTTCGCAGATGCGCCTGCCCGTACTGCTTCCACCCGTCTGGCACGCAGGCGGCCTGTTCCATCTCGTTGAGCAGGTTGGTGATGGCCTCGCTGGCGAACATGGCGTCCACGAGCTCGTCTCCAGTCCAGCCGTCTGGCCCGGCGCTGGAGCCCGCCTGCCTGCGCAGCCCTTCTCTCACGTCTTGCTCGCTGAGCTTGGGCCACTGTTGCTCCGGGAGCGTCGGCAGCCATTGGCCCAGCTTTTCCCGCCACCTGTGTGCAGGCGGTTTTTCTCGGTCCCACACCTTCCTCCACCTTCTGCTGAGCATGCCCAGCGCCTCGATGGTGTCCTGCGCCGTTGTCTCGCCTTCCTTCACCATGACGTCTTTTGGTGTGAAATCCTTGAGCCATTCGTGAGCTTTCCTCTGCGTGCTCTGGACCTGGGAGCTCCAGTCCTCGAGCCGCTTCTCCCGCCGTTCCTCGGTGAGCGTCCTGAGCCTCACCTCTGCGTCGTCTATCAGCCGTGCGACAGCCTGCTGGCGGGCTAGCGCGCTGAGGGAGCCCATCTGGTCAAAGTCCTTGTGCGGCAGAGCCCTGTCCAGTTTCGCGCGGAGCGCACGGGCCTCCTCGCCCCTGCCGCGGCCATGCTCTTCTAGCCATTTGAGTCTGTGCAGTCTGGCCAAAGCGTTGGCCTGCTTCCTCTCTTGGAAGGTGCCCCGGGTGATGGCGTCACCCTTGCTGCGGTCCACCTTCGTGATCACCACGTTGTGATTTGAGGGCGCTGGGGATCCCCATTCATCGTGTGGGAGTGCCCAGAAAATTGCAGCACCGATGCCTCTGTCAAATCAGAGACGTCCATTCCCCGTGCTTTAGCTGAAGCCACTGCCAGGCCAGAACAATTGTGAAGTGGTGTGGTTCTCGAAGAGTGGGTGCCCATTCCAGAGCCCCAGAAGACGGGCCAGGTTTTGCTTGTTTTGGCCACCCAGTCTCTGAGGAAGGGAGTTGTTTGGAAGTGGTTAGTTGTGGCGGGTGTTGCGTCGGGCGGGAAGTTTGCCAAGCATACGCAACCCAGACGGGTGAATGTGTCATTCCTAGGTTTTGATTGCGCTGCCAAACTAGCGGACTCATTGTAGCCTCAGGCCGTGATTTTGGGGCGTGTCGAGATTGGAGGCCGAGTTGGTCCCAGGCAGTCTGTCAACAGAGCAGAGGTCTTGGCATCTTTCAGATTCTTGTCAAGCAGTGGTTCGTGCACAAGTATGTTGTATATCACTGACAGCGACTACGGTGGGAAAGGAGTCTTGAAGGAAGCCCAAGCCGCGGTACCCCCTACGAGCTAGCTCAACGCATCGTGGTGTTTCTGTCGTTCTTCATGGTATAAGCGCAATAAGTCTTCAGAACCCACAATAAGGGGGTAATTGATTATACTGGGGTCCCACCAACAGGGGGTAATGAATTATTGTTTCTCTGCGGCACCCGCCGCGCAACAATGACGACGACAGTTGCGACTACGATTGCGACTATGACTACGACGAGGAGAAGGAGGAGGTGAGGAGGAGGGGGAGAAGGGGGGAAGGAGGAAGAGGTTTTAGGACCAGTCCGATTCACCGCTGAGTGAAAAGGGGGTGGATCAAAACTGAAGACCTCCTGAGGCGCCATTGGAACCTATCGTGTAATTCAATCTCTCTCGCAGCATGTGGAACGGATAAAGACCTTGGAAGCAGGGCACCGTCCAACGTCACAATCCGCATTGGCTAAGCTGCGCAGTAAAGTTCTCTTGCTCTGGGCCATGGTATCTCGGCCCCACCAGCCCACCCCACCCCCATGTGAAAGCCGAAGGGAACAGCCTATATCTAAGTCGAGCCTGCCCCTCTACAGGGGGAATCTTCAAACATAGGTTTAAAATAGTTTGGGGACGATTTGTTGATTATTGTTGTTCATGCTTGAGTGTGTTTAGAATATTTGTCATTTTTTGTCCCAAATCCCCCTGTAGGGGGAGATGCCCAAACTAAGTCTATATCTTATCGGCCAGTGGGGCCGAGGCCACGCCAGCGGGGATGGGGATCAGTCAAACGATGCTCATGGGCTCGTGCGGAGGCGGTCCTCCCAGATCGACGAGGACAGCGTAGTGGCGCTCGTCGGGAGCCCCTCGCCACACCCGGTGAGCATCGACGACCTGCTGCACGACAGAGGACCAGAGCCGAGGCAGGGAGAGGAACCTCGAGAGTCGTGGGTCGCCGCTTCTCGGGCCGAACGAAAGGAGGGGATAGGGAAAGGGGGGGTTACGAGATCTGCTGCATGCAGCTGGTTTCGGCCCCACCGAGGGGCCCATTCTTCGATACATGGCCGCCTCTGGCGCCGGGAGGCTCCGGGAGAATCAGCTACGTGAGCTGATTCTCAAACCCCCCCTTTGCTATCCCCCCCTTTCGCCCGGCCCGCGCTTCGGCCTGGGCGGTACAGCTCCGCATAGTGCAGCATCGGCCTTCACTTCTCCCGATGGGGGTTGTGGATCTGCGTCGCGCTCTCTTTTCCCTTGGCTCGGAGCCCTTCGCCCTAGCGTCGAGTTTACCGATCCCGCTTTTGCTGCCACGGATGCTGAGCCTGCGCTATGGAGAGGAAAAAGTTAGCCTGGCGAAGTACCCAACCACATGCAGTTGCGAGTACCACAAGACAGGTGGAAACTCAGGGAGGAGGCTAGCAAAAGGATTTAGGCGCGTGCGAATGACTAAGCGACGTCGCCGATGGTGTTGCAGACGTCAGCTACAACGGTTCATCTGGAAGTAACCCGTCACGGCTAATCTGAGCGTTTGCTGACCAGGCATTGTAGCAGGGCGCGGTTTGGGGCGCAGGACTCGGTCGGGCGTTTGGTGGAGCTCCTTGAGGGCCACGAAACGTGCGAGGCTTGTGCCAAAATGGGCGCGGTCACAGATACGATTCCTGCCGATGGGGCATTCGGTCAGCTCCCCAGGGGGGCGCGAGACAAGCGAGGGGTGTGCCGAAGTAGTCGGGCTCACGCATGCGATTCCCCCCACGGGCCTTCGGCGGAGCTCCCTACGGGGCCACGAAGCGTGCGAGGGTGTGCTTAAATGGGCACGGTCACGCGTGGAAGCTGGCAATGGGGCCTTACGTGGAGCTCTCTCTACGGGGCCACATGTGAGTGGTATGCCGACATGGGCGCGGTCACGCATGCGATTCTTGCCATTGGGACCTTAGGTGGAGCTACCATTGCGGCCACGAAACGTGTGAGAGTTGTTCCGAAATGTTCTGGAGAAGGCATGCGAACGCAAACACTGTGGCCTTAGGCGGAGCTCCCTATGGGGCCACGTGTGAGGGGTGTACCGAGATCGGGGCGGTCACGCATACGATTCCTGCGACAGAAGCTTTCGTTGCTTCTCCTTAGCTGGCCGCAGCACGTGTGAGGGGTGCGCCGAAATTGCCTGGAGCAGACATGCGAACGCAGCCTTAGGTGGAGCTCCCTAGGGGGGCCACGACACGTGTGAAGGGTGTGCCAAAGTGGGGTGGGAAGGACATGCGAGTACATCCACTGGGACCTTAGGTGGAGCTCTCTATGGGGCCATGGGAAGTGTGAGGGGTGTGCCACAGTGGGTTGGTGACGGCATGCAGGCGCCACCATTGGGACCTTGGGTGGAGCTCCATATGTGACTACGACGCGTGTGAGGGGTGTGCCACAGTGGGTTGGTGGCGGCATGCAGACGCAACCATCGGGGCCTTAGGTGGAGCTCCCTATGGGGCCACGACACGTGTGAGGCGTGCGCCAAAGTGGGGTGGCGGCGGCATGCGAAAGCAAACGGGTGGGCCTTAGGTGGAGCTCCATATGGGGTGTCGAGGCTTGTGAGGGGTGCGCCAAAGTGGTGTTGCGGCGGCATGCGGGCGCAACCACCGGGGCTTCAGGTGGAGCTCGCTATAGGGCCACGACACGCCTGAGGCGTGCGCCAAAGTGGGGCGGCGGCGGCATGCGGGCGCAACTGCTGGGGCCTTATGTAGAGATCCCCATGAGGCCACGAAACCTGTGAGGGTTGCGGCGGCATGTGGGCGCAACCACCGGGGCCTTAGGTGGAGCTCCCTATGGGGCCACGACACGGGTGAGGGGTAGGCCAAAGTGGTGTTGCGGCGGCATGCGGGCGCAACCATTTGGGCCTTAGGTGGAGCTCGCTATGGGGCAATGACACGTGTGAGGCGTGCGCCAAAGTGGGGTGGCGGCGGAATGAGAACGCAACCATTGGGAACGTAGGTGGAGCTTCCCATGGGGCTACGAAACGTGTGAGGTGTGTGCCGAAGTGGGGTCGGCGGCGGCAGGCAGGCGCAACTATTGGTGCCTCAGGTGGAGTTCACCATGGGGCCACGACACGTGTGAGGGGTGCGCCAAAGTAGGGTGGCGGCGGCATGCGGGTGCAACCATCGGGGCCTTCGGTGGAGCTCCTTATAGGGTTTCGAGGCTTGTGAGGGGTGCGCCAGAGTGGGGTGGCGGCGGCATGCGAACGCAACTGCTGGGGCCTTATGTAGAGATCCCCATGAGGCCACGAAACCTGTGAGGGTTGCGGCGGCATGTGGGCGCAACCACCGGGGCCTTAGGTGGAGCTCCCTATGGGGCCACGACACGGGTGAGGGGTAGGCCAAAGTGGTGTTGCGGCGGCATGCGGGCGCAACCATTTGGGCCTTAGGTGGAGCTCGCTATGGGGCAACGACACGTGTGAGGCGTGCGCCAAAGTGGGGTGGCGGCGGCATGCGAACGCAACCATTGGGAACATAGGTGGAGCTTCCTATGGGGTTACGAAACGTGTGAGGTGTGTGCCGAAGTGGGGTCGGCGGCGGCATGCGGGCGCAATCATTGGTGTCTCAGGTGGAGTTCCCTATGGGGCCACGACACGTGTGAGGGGTGCGCCAAAGTAGGGTGGCGGCGGCATGGGGGCGCAACCATCGGGGCCTTGGGTGGAGCTCCCCATGGGGCCACGAGAAGCGTGAGAGGTGCGCCAAAGTGGTGTTGAGGCGGCATGCGAACGCAACCATTTGGGCCTCATGTGGAGCTCCCTATTGTGCTACGAAGCGTGTGAGGGTGTACCAAAGTGGGGTGGTGGGATGGGGGAGAGGTGGGAGGAGAGGAGAGGAGAAGAGAGGAGAGGAGAGGAGAGGAGAGGAAAGGAGAGGAGACGCGTGGTGCCGCTAGTTCAAAACGTGGGCCCAACTCCACACAGGAATTTTAGGAAGAAGGGGGAGGGGCTCGAGAGCCGTGGGCGGGAGACGTGACGTGTCCAGGTCTACAGTCCTTGCGGCTTGGGCTCCTCGGTCGCAACCAGGGCGGTCTGTGCAGCCATGGTCAAAACTTTGCACCACCTGGTGCTATGGCATTACGCGCCTCTTTTAATACTCGCATCGCGAAGGCCTTCTGGCAGGTGCCACCGACCCTGAGGGGGGACTGCGAAGACGGTGGCGACGACGACGACGCTCGCGAGCCCTCGTGGGTGCCCTTGTGGGCCCTGTTGGCCTCGGGACCCCCCTGGGGACCCCCTCCAGGACCGCCCCCAGCGATTCCCTCTCGGGACGCCCCCCCATCCCCCCCCCCGCGGGGAAGCGATCAAGGGCTTGCCCTTCGACTCGACTGGCGATCCCTCTCTTGCGGATCTGTGGGGCTCTCTTGGGCCATCTTGATTGGAGAGGGGGGAGGACGACCTCCACGATCCCCCCTCGGGGGGGGCGTCCCGCCCGTGACCCCCCCTTGGCGTGGGGAGGGGATCAAAAGGAAGCGGCTCCCCGTCGACTCGATTGCGACGCTGTTCGATTTTCGTCTGGCTGGGTCGCCTGAGGAGCAGGGCCCAGGGAAAGGGGGTAGATTGGCGACGGCGACTCGAACGGAAAAACGTCTCACACATCGCCGGCAGGGTAGGCGGATTTTTTTTGTCCGCCCCCCCTTCTCTACGGGCCGTGATCGCCGAACCGGTTCGGTGGTGCAACAGTCGGACTGTCGCCTTGGAAATGCCCACAGTTCCTTTGACCTTGCCGCCGGTATGACAGGGTCGGAGATGAGTGTAGAAAAATGTTTGTGAAGACCTGCGCAGAGTGATGCCACTTCTTGGCGACGTAAGGTATCCGTGGGATCGCGTATCGGATCCACATGAACGCGCCACGGAATTCAGACCGCGAGGACATGGACATGGACTTGCTCGTCGCTCGTGGTCTAGATGGGCAGCGAACGTAGCGAGCTGGCCAATGATGGTGACCGTGGTCGTCTGTCGCTGATGGTGCCTTTATTAACCTCCAGCACGTCGCAGACCACGAAGCATCGTGTATGTATGCTGCCACGGTCAGAAAACAGTGAGGCGCGCTTCGGCGCGCCGTGGCCGAAGTTACCGGGTCCAGTGGTTTCGCAGGGGCTCGACGGCGCCCTCGCGCCGCAGACGCCAGCGGTCGGCGAGAGGTCTCGGGAGGGCCCGGCGCAGAGGACTGTCGAACTGAATGCAAGAGCAAACTTGCTGACCCGCCCATTGAGTTCCTGAGCTCGTGAATCCATGTGCTGCCGAGACTGAGGTGCGTGGTTTGGACACTCCAGAGAGCTGTCCCGTGGTGTGCGTCCCGCCCTCCTCCCACAACCACGCTTCGTCTTCCGACGCGTTGATCACGGCAGTCTGCGGGCATAGGTCGGGCGGTGCACGCGCAGGCCGGGATTACTGTAGGTTCGTGTCGTGTCGACCGGCGGCGACCCCGTGGAACGATTTGGACGTTTTGGAAACGGCCGATCGTTCAAGGTTGAACGATCTCCGCGGTGTCAGAAACCAACGCCGAAGTCGGCACGACACGAACCTGACGAACCACCCTTATTCAAGGGGGGGAAAACCACCCGGACAGGACAATTGGCGTTTACTAATCGGCCCTGAGCGTTTACTAAACAGCCCTGCCCTGTTCGATTCCTTCTTTGGGTGCGTTTACTAAACGGCTTCGCGTGTCGGGGTGGTTATTATCGGGGTGGATGTTCTGCTTTCTGTTTATGTGGTAACGCGGCGACAAGTCAGCCCGATCCAAGACTCCTGGGCAGACACGCGAACAAGCCGTGTGAAGCAAGAGCAAGCGAGGGAGCAGCCTCGGCCCAAGCATTGAGTCGGGCGTGTCCCTCCACACAGCAAACTTGGGAGACAGAGGGCAGCAGTTCAATCCTTGCTTCATCCGAGTGGCATCTCGAGAGTTTGCTAGAGCCCTCCTGGCAGCAGTTTCGCGATTCTCCGACAGTTCCAGAGCCGTTCGGACGTTTTGGCGATCGACCGATGCGGGTCTTGGGGAGATCTTGAAGTAGCCAGCGCCTTTCCCGATCGGGTGACCTGGTCCGAGCGGTCTTGGATCGTTCGCCAGAGGCCCTTGGGCGACCTCGAGACGTCCCGAGGCCTTGCGAACATGTGTTCGCCTATTCGGCGACAAGCCAGAGCAACGAATCCTGGCGGAGGGAGTCCTGGGGCAGCCCTTTGGCAGCGTTTGGGTCTAGCGAAGCAGCCACAGCTAATCCAACAAGGTTGCGTGCACTGAGCAGACGAGCTGTTTGAACTAAGCCACGGGCTGCTTGAGTCATGCCTTGCCTTCAGGGTAGGGGGCTGCAGACACCCGCGCAAACATTCCAAACGAGGGCGCTGCCTAAATTATGGTTGTGGTCGAAATTGTGCTCCCGAGCAAGAGGATCGACAGATCAAGCGGCAGCGCACGAGGTCTATGACGCATTCTAGACGTGTTCTGTTCCGCCTTTTGTCGTCGCTGTTTGGCCATCTGCCCAGCAGGACCATCAGGGGCATCACCTGCGCCCGGACCATCTGCGGCATCGCCTGGGCCAGCGCCGCCCGTCGTGCACAGCGGAGGCTCGGATGTGAAGGCGGCCACCTCGTGCCGCAACTTGGACACTCGGGTTTCCGAATCTACGCATCTGCTCAACAATAGGTTGCGCCCAGTGCGCCATCGGCGGCAGGGCGCCCCCGCAGCTCACGTTGCCAGCTGAAGAGCGTTTGCATTTTCGCAGGCGCCGCCTGCACGTGCTGCGTGTACGAGCGGAATTCCCCCACCCACCCACCCACATACACACATGCGTCACATTTCGTCGCCGCGCATACCCACCATCGCGCCCAGGAGAGCAGCGTTGCAACACTAGCGGTGCAGTTCGTTTGCGTTGCGCGATTGCTACGTTGCGTTGCATGTCGGAGGCCGCTTGGGGGCTTCTTGGGCGCACATTCGGAGCGTCTCGGGGGGCTCTCCATGAAATGTTTGCCTGCAGTAGATCTTGGGGACGTCTATGCGGGCCTTCTGACCTCCTCGGTGAAAGAAACACTTCGGCCGTCTTTGGCCATCATAGGGTGGTCTTGGATCATGTTGTCGTGGGGCTGCCCAGGGGTGATCTTGGGCCATAGTGTAGCCAGGTCTGAGTCCACTTGGCAATGTCCGACCGTCTGAGTACCTTTCATTGGTAATGTTGGGGCTTCTACGGTGAGCCAAAGCCATGTCGCAAACCGAACGCATGATGAATTATCAATGCCGACGTTGTCCCCACGTCCCTCCTGGAGGGTTTGCTGAGGGTCCTAGAGGAGGGCCTCTTGGGGTCTTCTCGGAACATGCTGAGAATAGTCGGGCCCTCTCGAATTGTCTTGGTGCCGTCTTGGGTTTTGTTCGGGCCACGGTGTGTGTGTGTGTGTGTGAGAAGTCCGCTCGTAACACCTTTCCATCCATCTATCCTGCTACTGTCTCGGCTCAGGTACTGGACAGTCCTATTGGACAGGACTCGCGCCACGCATCCCGCGGCGCAATCCCAATCGTCCTCTACCGACGGACCGTACGGTAGGTTTGACTCTTCGGCTGTCAACTCTGGCCGTCTGGGGGGTGCCTTGAGCCGCCTGGGGCCTCCTGGCCTGTGGCCGCCTGAGGAGATCCGTGCGCCCGCCGCGGGTCGCCCTGGAGGCGTTCTGGGCTGGTCCTCGGCCGTCCCGTGGCCGCACGAGGGTGTGCCTGAGGGGCGCTGGGATCTAAGCAGTCTCGCCAACATTGCAGAGCGGATTTCGGTTGGAAAACGACAGGATGGGCTCAGAGTGTCCTGGAGAATTTGGTCCCGGATTTCGAAGTGGATTTCGTGCGGATTCGCTTTTGGCCAGTAATGAAGATGACAGAACCCACGCGAAATCCACTTCGTTTTTCACTCGCCGCTTCGGGGTTTTGCGTTGGCGTAAATCCACGCAACAATCCCTTGCAGCACGTCTGCCGGGTCTGTGCAGTGAAACTTGTCCGTACCTTTGAGATCAGCAAGCCCAAGGCGATGCCAATCTTAGGGAATGTGCCCCCAGACACGAAGGGGATCCTCGAAATCACCGAGGCAAGGTGACGCCAGGCATGGGGATAGGGACGTGTTTCAAGCTGGTAAGGATCCGCCCGGGGGGGGGTCGGCGCAGATGCCACGGACCCCCCGCCCCCTCCACAGGGTGGGCCCCGCCCGACGGGCGCCCCCCCCCCCCGAGTGCCGCCTCGGCCACCGCCCCCTCTGGGGCCGAGGCGCCCCTCGGCGCGCTGCCGGGCCGCCGCCGCACCTCGCGTGCCGCACGCTCCTCGCCGGGGGCCGATCTTGGCCGTCCACCGACCCGGGCGGACCCCACACACACGGACGCTTTTCAGATGGGCTCTCGGGGTGGGGCCTCGCCCGTCGGAGGGCCAGCGTGGGCCCCGGGGCGCCCGGCGCTCAGGGGAGGAAGAGGTACAGTCGGACCGGGGTACAGGATCGAGGTCGGTTCGGGGAGGGTGCCCTGGCGTTCTTCAGTGCTCGTCAGATGTTCTTGCGCATCCAGAGGAGGGTAGCCTCGGATGTTCGGTGTGCTTCGGCAGAGGGAGGGTCTCATCATGTTTTTGAGGAATGTTCTTCTGGCTAAGGTCCGACTGTACCCATACCGCTACCCTCGCCTCGTTTGCCTTTTTGGGGTCCCCTTGGAGGCACTCTGGCTTCTAGTCAGAACGTAGCCCTGGAGATGTCCGGGGAGTAGCGGTATCAGTATTGGTGCCCCCACGGCGCGCCGTGAAACCTTGGGTGTGGCCCGAGAGAGACTTGGCATCGCTCGGACGTGTGCGAGTTTTTTCTCGCCGAGGACCATCGAGGAGCATCTTGGATCACCGTGCAAAAAATAAACGCCCGAAGCCGACAAATGCACGGGCAATGGGCGTCCGAGCGATGGCGAGGACACGGGCTTGAGCTAACCGGTGGGTGGGGGACTCTGTGGACCGTCTTCGCTTCGATGTCGTTCTGCAGTAAAAACGCGGCACTAAGACAGAATCTCGGCGTGCCTCACAATGTGAGCGGAAGGATGACAACATGTTGGGTTTTGTTGTTTGCAAACTGTTCACCAACGGTTCAGAAACATCTGTGCGCGAACTCCCAGGCCCCGAGGGGCCTTGTCGACGGCCGCTCGGTTGAGGGGAGACAGACATGTTCAAAACAAACGGTTCGCAAGCGTTTCGGGAACAAGTGCTCGCGGACGATGTTCAGGTCAACCCCGCGACAGAACGAGGGAAAACGAAGACAGCGCGAAAACAGAAAACAAAGCGTGTGTTGAGCCCTGCCCTTGAGGCGTGGCCCGAGAGCGTTGGGCAGCGAGGTCTGGGCAGGCCTGGGGCCTGCGATTGGCGCACGGTGCTCCAAGGGTTCGGCTGGGCCTCTCGCCGGGTTCGGCGTCGGTGTGCGGCCTTCCAGGCCTCCCAGATGGGGTCGGAGTAGATGGGGTCGGAGGATCGCGCCGCATCGCCGATGCATCGTCGATGCGGCTCGATGTGGAGCCCGATCTTTTTGCCACACGGACATCGCCGCTGCATCGAAGATGTGTCGGCGATGCATCGACGATGCGGCGCGATTCTCCGACCGCATCATTCCCTCAGCTGCCCTCATACGCCCGTTTTGAAACGCAACACGTACCGTGTTCAAAACGTCCGTGTTGACACGCTGCGTTTTGGCTCAACGTGTTGGCCCGCGTCTTGGCGACCTTATCGGGCCAGACCTACGTTTTCAGCCCACGTGCTGAGCTCCGTGTCAACACGCTACGGGCTGCGTGTTGCGAATCGGGGCAGCTGAGACCATTCCCCATCCCACCTGGGAGGCATCTGAGCCTGCGCCCCCGACGAGCCGACCATCTGATCATGTGCACGGCCCGGGACTGCTCGACGGACCGTCTCGGGAGGGAGTGTCGGAGCGGGGGGGGAGGGCGGGCCTTCTCAGAGGGCGACGGGGCTTATCAGAAGGCCTCGCGCCTCCTCTCGCTTCCCCCCGGGGCTCGCCGCCGCCGAATCGCGGCCGCGTGTCTCCCCAGAGTCCGCCATGGTTCTGGTTTGGAGTTCGGCGTTTGGCACTGGGGGCATCGCGCGATGCTGCGTTGCCAGCCCAAGACAATATCCAGATTCCATATCCCTATGATCGGCATCGCCTCATCTCGATGCCAATCTTTGGGGGTGCCTCAGTTTCCGGGGGCGCATCCCTAAGGTTGACATCGCCTTCGGGCTTGTCAATCTCGGGGAAAAGGATACGATCGAGGCTGGTAAATCAGGTGCTCGATCATGGACCCCATGTTGAACGAACCATCCAGCTCTCGCGCCAACCACCGCTGGAAACCGCCGAAGACCGCCGGAATACCGCCAGAAGACCGCCGAAGACCGCCGGAAGACCACCGCCGTAGACCGCCGAGGACCGCCGGAGACCGACCGAAGACCGCCGAAGACTGCTGAGGACGGCCCAGGAGCGACGGGTAACTCTGAAAGGTCTTCAGACCCACATCGACCACACGCAAGAGTGATCGTTCGCCGGAGCGACCTTTGGGTGCGGGCCCTCTGGGGTTCCCCCGATCGCCGATCGCGAGGCGGTAGCAGCGGCTTGCGCGCCCTGGTTTGGCCACCTCGCGTCCCCCGTCAAGTCGAGCACCAAAGGTCACTCTTTCCCAGGGTCACCCATTTGTCTGGCCGACCACACCCCCAATAGAGGGTAACTGATTATTTGTTCGGCGGCCTTGTGGAAGAACTGGGGTCCCGCCAATAGGCGGCAGCTAGTTAGTTATGTTTTTCCGCGGCACCCGCCGCGCAACAACGAGGAGGAGGAGAAGGAGGGGTAGGAGAAGGAGGAAGAGGAGGAGGAGGAGGTTTCAGGGCCAGTCCGAGTCACCGCCGAGAGAGAAGCATGGAAATCTCAAGACCTTCAGCGGTTAACAAGGGGTCCATGGTCGAACGCGTAGGTTAGATCTGAGCAGGGACAGAGCCTTCCTCCCGTGGAGCCCCGCGGCGCCCGAGCGGGTCGTACCCAAAACCCCCCGCAGGGAAACTCCTGGCCCCTTGAGGACCAGATCGCCCTCGGCGAGGGCAAGCTGAAGGCGCCGGCCTCTGCTGACGGGGCTGCGTGTGAGCGTCGCAGAAGTCTCTCGCGGAACAAAGAATAACAAAAAACATGAACTTTCGGAGGTCCGCGCGGATTTCTCCGAGCGTCGCTGGCGTCCCCAGTCGGCGTCTCCGGCGCCGTCCCTGGTGCGCTCGGCGCGCCAAGAAGGGGGGTTCAGCGCCGATACAAGGAATCCGCGCGGACCTCCGAGAGTTTTTTTTCATGTCGTTCTTCGTTTCCCGAATATATATATATATATATATATATATATATATATATATAGATAGATAGATAGATAGATAGATAGATAGATAGACACACACGCATACGACTTCATGTAGGCCACTGCCAACAATTGCATGTGAGTGTCGCAAGAAAACAGCTTCGATTGCACCGCCCTTCGCGCGTAAGCTTCCCGCGTAAGGTCGCGTATGAGCTCCATCTTTTCGAATGTAGCATGCCACGCTGGTGGCCCGCGCAAGCCGCGGCGTAAGGTCGCCATGCCATCTCGCGTAAGACCCGTTTTTGTTCGTCGCTCATGTGGGCGTTGGCCGAAAATTCGACCGATTGAAATCACATAGGGGGGCTGCGGTCGGCGTTTTTGGGGAGCGCCCGTTTCGGCCCGATCTGGAGCCCTGGAGGGGCTCCCACCAGTACTCGCCGCCGGCATGCGACGCAAACGATGCCGTCGTCGCGTCGTCGTCGTCGTCGGTTTTGCCCCGCACACGCACACGCCTTCACACGCACCCTCCGCCGTCACCACGCAATCGCAAACACCTGGCGCGAAACGCGCGAAACGCGCCTGTCCTCCCAAAACACTTGCCACGTTCTGGGCGAAACGTTCTCGGCACTTCAAACATGTCGCACTGTCCGCGCGAAACGCGCCAGCTCTTCCAAAAGCACTTGTCGCGTTCCGCGGGAAGCCGCGCCGATATCCCAACAAACACTTGGCGCGCTCCGCGCAGAAACCCGCGTTTTGGGACGTCGGGTGGCAAACCGGAAGACTTGGTGCGTTCCGGGCGAGACCCAGCGCTCCGAGATTTCATGGGGTCTGACGGAAAGACTAAAGACTTGAGGCGGTCCGCGCGAACCCCCCTGCGCGGTACGCCAGTTCCCAGGCAGAACATGATTGCGAAGATAACGTGCGCCAGCGTGGATCCGAAACCAGGACTCATTGCACTTCGATGCGCAAGGTATGTGTTACAATTTTTTCTGTGTGAATTTTGTGGCACAATCTGCGTAGTGTTTGCTATGCTGTGCAAGCTGCGCGGCGAAACATATGCGGCGCGAAGTATGTAATGCAAACTTTGTGGTGCCAGCTGCGTTGTGTAGTCTATGTGTTTCAATCTACTGGGTGCCTGCTAAGTTAAGTACGCGGCGCGGTCTATGTGGCTTAACATGTGTGGGTCAAGCTACGGGCTGCTATCTTAAGACGAAGCAAGGACGTCAAAAGTTAGTTCCAGGCGAACAATGCTCCCCCCCCCTCTCAAGTGTAATCCGAACAGATAAAGCCGAACATCAGCTGACCCCGCCTGGGCTCTCGTACATTTTTGCGTGTGTGTTTGTTTTTTTCCTCGTGGACGGCTTTGTGGAGTGCGCAATTCACATGGCTATGGCGTGGCAGTCTCTCGCGCGTGCTTGTGTCAGGCTGGCACAGCCAGCGATGGCGTCGTAGCGAACGGCACCGGATCGTTACGATTGCGTCCGCTTCGGGACAGTTCGTGCGCGTTTCGTCGTTCGCATACTTTTCCGGATTTTCTCCTGTGTGCTTCGCGCGCACCGGCGCTGGCGCCAACGCTACCAGTTCCCATGATAAAGAAGCGGCGGTCCAGCCACGTTGTATCCCATTGTTGCGGAGGTCCACATCAAGCCAAAAACGTCCACTCGAGCATGTTAACATTTGCCTCCATCATCACTATCGTATTTGTTGTCCCTCACAAATCCCTTGCTCTTCTCCCCGTCACTGGTATGTCTTCCCAAGTCTGCGCAGGCCCTATCTCCTATCCCATCACCTTTGGCCCTTGTCCTCTTTACTTTTCCCTTTCGTGCCTCATCGGTGGTCCCTCCTCCTTTGCTCTTCCCCTCTTCGGTTGTCTCCCCTCTTGCCCCCCTCATCCGTCTTTCTTCCGCTTCTCTCCTCCTCCTTCCTTCCTTCGTCGCCTTCCCGCCATCCCTTCGCGTCCTCCTTCCCGTTTCTCCCGCCCCTCTTTCTGGGCGGTCGTCTTCCTTCCCCCTTCCGCAGCCATGCTCTTCCATCGCGACCCCCCGTCATCCATCGCACACCTCCTTCCTGCGAGGTCCGACGAGGCCATGTTGAGGCCCTTAGGGAGATGGCCGGTGGCTGAGATTTACCTGGGCGGCGGGCGGCTGGGCCGCGGCCGGGATTCGGCTGGGATTTTGCTGGTGGCGTTTTTTTTTTTTTGGTTAAAAAAAAATGTGTGGGTGGCAGTTTTTTTGCGGGGGCGGCGGCTGGGCGGCGGCATGGATTTGGCTTGGATTTTGCTGGGCGGCGGCCGAGATCTGGCTGGGATTGTTGCCAGGCGGAGGGCCCGCGGGCCTCAGAGGCGCGTCTGAAGAAAAGCATTTGCGTGTGATTCGTATTGGTCATGGCGCCTTCGGCTTACTAGCTCGCACCCGGCGCCCTCGCATCGTAACGGGTTGCGCATCAAGCGTGCTCTACATCGGAGTTGTACATAGTTGTGACGCGTTCGCTCCAGCTTCGCAGTCATGTTAAACTGTGTGGCGGCATCGTCGTTTCGACATAGGGCTATTCTGCTTCGCAGTCGTGCTGCGCAGTGTGGCGGTATTCTTGTTGCGACGCGCCCCTGTTCTGCTTCGCGGTCGCACTGCGCTGTTTGGCGGCATTTTTGCGTTGACGCGCGCGCTTTACTGCGTCGCAATCGCGCTTCGCCCAGCTCGGCGAAGACCGACGCGCTGGCCACCGAGGTGCAGCGCGCTCAAAGCCCAGGGCATCGAGCGCCCGTTCATCTATGCGGAGCTCGCGAAGTTTCAGCCGCTTTGCGCGCGCGGCGCGGGCGGCTCCCCCGACGACCACGAGCCCGCGTCAAAAGAGGCAGCCGCGCTGGCTGAAGCGCTCGGCCGGGGCGCCGCGGCAGAGAGCCAGCCGCCCCCGGCGCGGGCGTCGCGGCACCAGGCGCATGGCGCTTGAAGCTTGGCGGCGGCGGTCACGGATCAGATATCGCACGCAAGTGCCACGGCCCACAAACGCGTCGTTCTCCGGGCGGTTCCAGGCTGTCCCCGTCTGCTGGTCGCCCGTGGGAGTGCGCCCGCCCAGGGTGCACTGGGTGCCCTGGGTGCCCCTTCGCAGGGGCGGAAGGCCCGGTGCGCCGCGGCATGTGACCGTCTTGCGCGGGGGACGTGGGCCGAGCGTGCCGCCGCTGGCGCGGTGGAATTCAAGGCCGCAGCTTCGCGCCATGTTTCGACGCGATACCCTTGGGCGGCCGTCGGCGCGCAGGCAAGGGAAGCTGCGTCGTCGCTTGACTGCGGGCTGCTCCGCGCAGCATAAGCAGGAACTGATTGGGTCCCGGAGGGCGCGTCGTCGCAACTCCCATCGCGCGTCGCGCCGCCACTGCCGCGCAGGTTGCTGCGCCAGTCGGCAAGGGCACAGCAGGTGGCGCCGCGGCGGCCGCGGTCAGAATGCGAGGGCCGCAAGCGCTGCGGACGCCGCGGGCGCTGCTGGCACCTCTTGGAAGAGTGACCGCGAGCCGAGAGCGGACGGGTGGTTCGCCCGCTCTTCTTGCCACGGGGAGTGCAATAACATGCGCTCCTGGGATTCGCGGGCGGCGCATTCACTTCGGAAGCAGCCGTCCGCCTGACGCCAGCCGGAGGCGCGCGCATCGCGCGGCGCGCGGCGATGTCTGGGGGGCGCGCCAATGGGGGTATGCATCTCGCGCCACGTCGGCGCTTGAATCACGACGAATGGGCGCCGAACGCGGCCGCCGCCCCGCGGGGCCCGCAGGCGCGCGCGCGCCGGCGGCTGGGCGCCGCAATGGTGCCGCGCCGTCCAGGGCACGGGCGCGCGCTTACCATCGCGGCCCGGTTGCGACGCGAGGGCCGCTTGCCCGCCGGGCCAGGAGGCGCGCGAAGGCCCTCGGCATGCATGCCCGCGCGCTCGCGCTCGCGAAGCGCAGGAAGCGACGGGGCTCAGTGTCGACGCCGCGTGGAATTATCAGGCGCCGCGCCCAGGGGCGCGCGCGACGCTCGCGGGCCCGCGCGCCCGGCAGAAGGACGCCTCTAGTTGCAATCGACGCGGCCACGCGCTGGACATAGCCGGCTGCAGTCACCGTCACCGTCGCCTGCTGAGGGGGAAGTGCCTGAGCTTGCCTTCCATGATGAGGTCCTCTCCCATTCCCATGCCCTCGAAGACAAAGAGGCCTTTGAGGAGGCCGTGGTGGTGCCGGCGACGATTTGGCGGCGATCGATTGGATTGCCGCGCGCCTGGCGCGGCGGGCGCGCCGTGAGCGGCGCGCGACTCTCGAGCGCATTCGGACCAGAGACGCCGAGCTCCGCGACTCTGGAGCGACGGCGGCCTGGTTCGCGGGCTCCGATGCTAACGCGCGCGCCATCGCAGGGTCGATCCACGGCCCTCTTCTCGTCGAGTCGCTCGGCGAAATTGGTTGCGACGGCGCGGCCCGCGCGGAAGTTCTCCGGCGCGGCGCGCCCCTCGTGGGGCCGCTCCCGCGCGCGGGGAACGGGCGACCTGAGTCTTTCCCTGAACCGCTCAGCCTGTCGGAATTGACCGCGGGCGCGGCGCGCGGCGACGCCGCGCTGCTCGGCGCGCGCCAAGAGCCCAGCGACTCGGCGGAGGTGATCGCCAAAGCTGTTGCCGAAGCGGAGCTTGGCCGAATGGGCCATTCTGCGCCAGTCAGCGCGGTCGAGCTCGACGGCGCCGTTTTGACGCCGCGGTTCGGCGTCAGGCAAATGAGAGAGGGCGGGCCCGAAAAGTTGCGGCTTGGAGATGATGCGTCGCGCTCT